ATATTTACTTGTATTAAACAAACCATCAGTTTAAAAAGTCAAATAAACCCAAGTTTTCCACTAAATAAATATCTTCTTGTATCATATCGAAATAAATAATTTATTTGAGTCAAGACAGATATAGTAAAATCAAGAGATTACTTTTCTCAGTGTATGTTAATTTTTAACACAAAAGAAAATTAATATTTATATATTAATTTGTATAGTATGTATTCATTTAATTATTTTAATTTGTTATTTTAACAATATTTTGTAATTATTTTTTACATTAATAATTGTTTATTTTTATTTATTTTTTAATAAAGTATTTCAATTAATATAAGAATATTGGTTTTTTGGAATTTGGAAATTTGTATTCCAAAATAAAAAACAAATCCATGCCATAGGGTAATCGCTCTTCAAACATTTCTGGGCATACAAACGTTATGTAAGTAAAAAAAACATTATCATAGCAAACTTACCTTTAACTTTTTTTGTTAAACACACGTTATATAAAAGCACACTTAACCTTACAATTAGAAACCTCTAATCGAATTAACTATCATCAACCGACTAAACGCGGTTAGAAGACAAAGGGCCTTGAACGGAGGAAGGAGAAAATTAGCAAATTAGAAGAATAAAATTTATATTTAAGTTAAATTGAATAAAAAAATACTCATTTGTTTTAATTTGATTAAAAATTTTCTGTTCTCAAATATTTAACAAATATTTTTGAGTTAGATTAACACTTGTTTAGGAGTTATTACATTGAAATTAACATAATTTTCTCGTAACATTAACTAGGTATATTATTATACTACAATGTACAAAAAAATTATTATTTAACATTATTATTTGTGTAGGACCTTTTAACACATTAATGTTTGTTAAATCTTTTAAAATTTTAAGATTTTAAATATTATAATTTTTGTATCAATTAATTACTTACTTAAGTAACATATATCATTTATGTTATAAACAGGAGGATGTTTATGTAAATTTTTACATTTTTTATTTAACAGGCATTATTTTTATAAATTTTTAAATGTGTACTAAATGTAAAATTATTTTATTATCTCAAAACAAAAATACAAAAGTATTAAATAGTTTTTTGACTCCAATAGTAGAAAAACATTTATTATATTTTTAAGAGTCTTTCTTTAGGCAATATATTGGATATTTTTATAATAACTTTAAACATTTTATTGTGAAAATATTTTTTTTGTGGTTTAATAATTATCATATTATATTACTCTATGTAGAAAGGCTACTTCAAAAGTACATATTTTCCAAAAAAAACTGCGGCAGTTTTTGATTTTTTACACTAAACACAAACTTATACATTCACGCTGTTTTACATACAAATTAGAATAACTCGAAACATATCTCATTAAAATCATCAAACAAACAAATTTTACCATAACCTCGTAATTAACGTTTGTACCAACAAACAGGAAAAAAATAACGACGCATTTTTTTCGAGCTAACAAATTGCGACAAATGCGACGTGTTTTAAGCAAACAGTCCCCATGATACGAACAAACAAATTTAATTGTTCGAGCTTTGATGTTGACAGATAAATAATTAGAGCACGAATGCAAGCTCTGCACATTGTTTTGAGCAGGGCGCAAGCTGCCACATGTGCATCTGTAATATGTAATTTAACGAAGCACACAATGCTCAGAGTATATCGGCCACGAAAGATTGCGGCGTCACATATACAGGGTGTCACCTAATAAATTGTCATCCTTTGGGGGAATGATAGTACACGGCAAAACAAGAAAGTTTTTCCTCCATCAGTTTTGCATTAGAAAAAAGATGTTTTATTTCAAACAAGAATGTTTGTGTAATTTTATCTATTACATTTAAAAAATATAAATTTAATTCAAAAACAATTCTTTAAAAATAATAATTGTCTGTATTTAAAAAAGAAGCAAAATATTAAAATATATATTTCAAACAAAGTACCTGACAAATATTATTTTTTAAAAGCATGGTTTAATTTTAAAATATGATTGTAATTTAATTTAAAAAAATTAATTATTTAATTTAACCAAATTATTATTTAAATACAAAAAAAATGTGATTTAATTTGAAGAAGAGGTTTATTTAAACTTTTTTGCTAACGTCGAAGAAGCATGACTTGCATGAATACTTTAGTTCTTATTGGTTGCTGTAAATCACGCGACTGCAGATAGCCAATGGGTGATTTTAGCGACTCCAATTTAGAGTAGGCTGTTGATGAGTAGTGTGTTGCATTTAATCAATTATAATATAATATTATTTTATACTATGGAGGACCTTTTAAAGGAATGAGCTGTTTTTAAAGGTAAGTAATTTAAATAATTAGTTGGAATTTACCATTATTATTTGAGTACCCTGGGTTAAGGAGGCTAATGGTGGATTTATGCAGCAAACATTAACATTAAGTTAACATTAAGCTAATTTATATTTTGCCAAATGGTGACATGTATATAGCTATAGCTTATATATGAGAAAAAGTATTTTTGTACCCCAGGAGCACTGAGACTAATGATTTTATATACATACATACATGTATTATATGTAATAGGTTAATTTATGTACCAAAAAGTATTTTTAAGTTTTGGGTTTTTGGGTTTTATGTAATAAAGATTAGTGTTTATTATTAAAAATTTTAATTAATTTTTACTCCCTAATATACAAATATATATTACTAGATTAGATGAAACCAATAAAACACTATTAATTAAAAAAAATATATCTTTTATTCTAAATAAATAATTTTTATTAATTCAAATATAATAATTATTTAATTGAAATAAATTAATTTTATTCAAAATTGGTTATTAGGTACTTTGTTATCATTGATTACTGACAGTTCGGTTGTTATTGTGGTTTCTTTGGGGATACATGCACAGTAGGGTGGGCCGAAAATCCGCTTTTTTAGAATTTCGTTTAATAATAGCAAAAATTTTGTTCATTATGTTGTAAAAAAAATTTGTGTAAAAGATTAAAATTTTCTATCAACATCCTAGGCTCGCCCAACGCAATTAAAGATCAAAATGTTCAAAAAAACTTTTTCTTAACTTATTTCAATCGGAAATTTTATGCTCTAAAAAAAGGTCCTTACACAAAATTACTTCAGATGGATAGTTTCAGAAATTTGTTCATTATGTTGTAAAAAAAAATTGTGTAAAAGATTAAAATTTTCGATCAACATCCTAGGCTCGCCCAAGGCAATTAAAGTACAAAATGTTCTAAGGGTACAAAATTATGATATGTTCTTGCATTTTTAATTGCAATTAAATTCATGAATCTCGAACACTCCGTCATTTATTACACTTGCAAACTTGCAAACTTTTTGAAATCACAATTTAAATACACACAAATAAAATTTATGAAATATTTTTGACAGCTCTGACATTTCTCTACCAAACATGAATTGACAAAGTCAAAGCCATCTAAATTTTAAATTATAAATAAAACTAACAATATCGCTACTAAACGGCCATTAAAAAATTAATATATCTTTTAAAGGAATAAAAATAACAAAACAAGACTAACTGGACTGAAAAGATGAAGGTGGGGACTACATTTCCTGAAAGTTTCAGATTTTTATTTTTTCCTCAACATAATGATTTCTGAGGGAAAAATTTGCTAATTTTGAGAATTATCAATTTTCAATAATTTTTTTAATAAAGAAATTGATAGTCTAGAAACTTAAAATAATAGTTACGTTTTCTATTGTATAAGTACTTTATACCTGAAAAAAATGAACCTTCTAAATTCAGTAGAATAGGCACAGGAGCCAGACAAAAATCACAAAAATTGACAAATTATCATGCATGAATCTTTAGTGGTTTACCATTCTTTTATGAGATTAACTAATTGGATAAAAATAATTTATATCGAAAACACACTTACTGGACAGTATAACAAAATTAAAATTATTTCAATATTTGTCACAGAAAAAAAGTTCTGGCCCACTATAAGAGAGTAAGAAATTGACACTATTTCAGACTTCTAAGGGGTGCCAAATAAAAGTAAAGCAACAAAAAATTAAAACGGCAAAGGATTTTCATATTTGACACCTAAAAGATCATCCTCAAATTTTTTCATCAAAATAAAAAATCACGCAGCGCACCCCATTTGGTGTTTTTATTTGGAATGACTCGTTGGGCGAGCCTAGGATGTTGATCGAAAATTTTAATCTTTTACACAAATTTTTTTTACAACATAATGAACAAAATTTTTGCTATTACTAAACGAAATTCTAAAAAAGCGGATTTTCGGCCCACCCTAATGCACAGTTTCGTGTATACATTGGAACAACTCCGCAAACTTGTCACTGCAGCAGCAGATAAAATCTGAAATCATCCGGATATGATGGCAAGAGCGACACATCATAATTTTCCATGTCGCTGACAACTTTGTGTGGATAATAACAGCGGTATATATACCTATATATATACCCATAGTATACAACTATATATACAACTATATAACTATAGTTGAACATTTATTATGATTTTGTGAAAGGTGAAATTTAAAATCGACGGGAAAACCACGGAAACCTCGAGATACCTAACAATAAAAAGTATGTATTGTTTTATTCAAAGTATACTTAAAAATAGCTAAGTATGCAAAACAAAAAACAATTATCAACAAAGTAATCAATGATAACACAAATGAAAATTTTTAATGAATGTAGATTATTGCTCACTGTGCAAGCATATTTTGCGTCAGTTGTCTTAGGTCAAAAACAACCAGTGGCGGCCCCAAATTTCTACTTTACTTATACAAATTTTAATGATTTTTTTATAAAAAAAATGGTACTAATGCAAAAATTATATAGCAACTTTCTTATTTTGGCGTGTACTATCGTCGACACTTATTTGGTGACACCAAGTTTTACTTCGAAAATTATTAGTTGAGATTTTTATAAATCAGTCGTCCATTTGCACATCTTTTTTAACCGTCGAGTGAGGAAGTCGCAAAATGCAAAATGCTAAAAATTTAACTATTTTCCTTTTTTTCAGGCCTTTGCTACAATCCTCTTGGTATGGAATCTGGAGCGATACCGGATGAGGCCATCACAGCCAGCTCCTCGTATGTTCCCAACGTGGGACCCAGAAATGGCAGGTAATTACCAAGATATGGATATGACTGACTGACTACGCTACAAACTACATGCACCCACGTTAATTTAAAGTCAAACCCGTTTCACTAACGAGTTGTGTCTAATGCAAGCATTTCCCAATTTTACATACTTCACTTTAATAACAAAGTCTATTTTAGTAGTCCAGTTTGTTTTAAATGTACGGTAGGGTGGGTCAATGGAATAGAAAAAAATTTTTGTTTTTGTTTTAATAATAGTCAATGTGTGATTTATTTTCCACCCGCACATTGTCTTTGAAAATCTGACTTTTATTCAAGGCCATTAAGTTCTATAAAAAAAAGTCTTACTAGACAAATTTTGTTCGCAAAGTTTCAAATCTTTCACAAAGCAATTTGGATTTGTCTATAATTTCGACATCTTCTTTATCTCTGTTCGACATCGCGATGCATCGGTCTGAATGTCATGAAGAACAGCAGACAAAACTTTTTTTAAATTGTCTAAATGTTTTTTTTTTTATTTTGATGTACTTTTCAGAAAAAAAAATAAAATAAAATTCAATGCTAAGTTTTATACAATTTTTTTTTTATGATAACCATCAATTTTTTAAGTTAGCGATTTTTTATGAGAAAATAATTACACGAAAAGAAAAAAATTTAAAATAAATTTTTAATTAAAAAAAAGAGAAATAAACGTCTGCCCACTGTGATTTTTGTAGCACAATTCGCAGGATTAATTAAAGTTTGTTTTGTAAAAAAAAAGAAGAAAAAAAGAAAAATGACGAACTTTGAAAAATTTAGGTATTTTTTTTAACTGAAAAATTTCATGGATTTTGACATCAAAAAATGTTTTTAAAATTTTTTAAAAAAGTTATGGGGATTAAAAAACATTTTTTGTAGAAAAAGGCTTTAAAGGTTTAAAAGTGCTTGATTTAGCATAAAGTATCTTATTACAGCACCGAAAGCGGTGTTATAATGAAGTCATTATTATAGATAAAAATATTTATCTGCACGCGGTCTATAATTTAAACTTTATTGTTGTCAAAATTCGATAAAGAAATACCTTGTTATGGCCTAGGCCTATAAAATTTTTTATGAGGCCAGTAATCGATTTTTTCTCGCTAGGGGTATTGTTTTGACAAATTTCTAAGAAATTAACGTACTAAACTGGTTTAATTTATTTATAATAAGCACTAATTTGTTTGTTTTACTGTTAATGTTTAATATTTTTCATTAAATTATTGTAAAATTAAATATGAATAATAAGACAAAAAGTGAGGTTAGGCAACCAAGAAAACGCACGATTCTTTTTCTACGATTTAAATTATCTTTAACTTTTAATTTGCTTTAAGTTTTCAGTGAAATTAAATGTTAAACACAGCTTAAACATTCCAAACTATCTATTTTTTAAATAAAAATCCAAACAAATTGAAATTAGATACCTACCTATTTATTAAACAATTAATTGAATTCAATGTACCTAATAGCAAAAATCCATTTCTACTTAAATCATGTTGCTAGGTATTGTCAAACTATTACTGCTTCTAAAAGCAATAATAATTATTATACATTTAATGTAATCTTTAGCTAATAAATAAATGAGATTCTAAATAAGTGAGGTTAGGCCGCTTTGATGTTGAATTAAATTGACCTATATAAAGTGCTTTGAAGATAAAATGTTGTATGCCATTCGGCCAAGAAGTGCCTTTTTGTGCTTCGCTCAATTGTAGGCCTCCGCTAGGCGTCGGCCTTCAAACCTTGAGCTTAGCACAAAAAGCCTTACTTCTTAACCTAATGACATAAATAACTATTATGTAACTTGTATAGGCTGAGTTCCTTAAATTTAATGATTGCATTGCAGATAATAATTTTATTGATAAAATATTTTCAAATATAATTATTACTTTTATTGCTGTATAAAACTTCCAAAAGTACATTTTCTACCAAACTATATTTTGTGTCAAAAAAAAGCGAATATTCTATTTTCATCAAAAGTTATTTTCGTATTTCCATCAAACAATTCAATTCAATTCAATATACAGAGCAAGGTAAAATTCAGTTAGCGATGCTTCAAAAACAAACATTCGTATCGAGCTAAAAGGAGAAGAAGGAGGCCTCCTGCTTGAAACAAAAGTTTCCAAATTTCATCAGGCGAAACACAGAGGTAAACAACATGCATACAAAGTTATTTTGTTGTTCCTTCTTATTTTTTTCATATACAAAACTAAATTATGCTTTTGAAGAGGACGGGATTCCGTTGTAGTGGCATAATGATAATCAAGAAAAAACATTATAAAAAAAAACGTTAAACCTCACTGCTAACACAAGAAATTAATATACAGAGTGGGTCAGGAATAACGCACCAAACTGCTGTAGTGTTTAGTTCAATCAACAACAATAATAACAACACTCAAAATATTATATAAAAAAATATTGCACATTAGCAATCGTAAAAACACAACGTTAACATTTTATTTCGCATAAAAACGTAACATTTAAAATAATAAACTTGAGCAAGATAGGATCTGAAAAGCCTCTAAAAAGCGTTAAACGTATACGTTAATGTCCGTGTACGTTAAGGTCGGCGATAACGCACAATAGCCGCTACCGGAAAACACGTTATAAACCATGGAAATTAAATCGAATATCCAAAGAAAGGACTTCGTGAATAGAGCCTCAATTTGCAGCTCCACAGAGAGCCGTCATTACGTTAAATCTTATGATAAAGCCACCGGTATTATTCCTCCAAAACGGCAACATTGTCAGACACAGTGGGATAGAAAATGAGTCTTTACTGCACGTTTTTAACAAACAGTTTTTTATTGTTTAAGATTTCTTTTAACAGATGACACTTTTATTCTAAATTGATTTTTCTGCTTTTAAATTTATAATAAATAAACTTTTAAGTAGTATAATTATTTTGACTGTTTAACAAAATTTATATATATACAGGGTTCCAGAAAATTGTTTAAAAAATTCTTTCTTCATTATTTAATAAGATACAGGGGAGTCATATTTTCTTTATAAGGCAACATTGCCTCATAACAAAGTAATAGTTTAATTCTTAATCATCATAACAACAAACAGCAATGTTAAAAAATGCCAAATTTAAATGTCAAAATTTGTTACTTTAAGTTATAGGTTATTTATTTTACGTCAGACTGGATAGAAAAAAAAATACAGGGAGTCCCTGTCTGACGTAAAATAAATAACCTATAACTTAAAGTAACAAAATTTGACATTTAAATTTGGCATTTTCTAACATTGTTGTTTGTTGTCATGATGATTAAGAATTAAACCATTACTTTGTTATGAGGCAATGTTGCCATATAAAGAAAATATGACTCCCCTGTATCTTATTAAATAATGAAGAAAGAATTTTTTAAACAATTTTCTTGAATTCCTGGTGGTCTTTAGATAATACATCTTCATTTTGTCGCATTAATTGTGGGACACCCTGTATACATATGTATATATATAAATGTTAGGGTGCTTTTTTTCGCACGACTATTTTTATTTTTTTGCTTCCAACTCAAAATCTTGTTGAAAATGTTCAAAAAAAATTCCCTGAAAATTTGAGCCCTTAATATTAATATTAACTCAAAGTACTCAACCAAAGCGTATACGCTTTATATATAAAGATTTCCCATTTAAAATACACGTGATTATTTTTTTTAAATATCTATATCTCAGCCGCATTTTATGCTATTGTATTGTTTCAAAAAAGGATTTACTCGTAATCAAAAGTTCTGCAAAAATGCTTAATGTGCTATAGCTGTAATCTGCGCCTGTAGGATGGTACGGGTCACTAAATCTTATTTTAGTGAAAAATTCTCATTTTTTGAAGAGATTTCAAAAGTGACTGAATTCTTTGAAAAAATGTAAAGAACAAAATTTAATTTCCTTTAAAAAAGGTCTTATCAGTTGAATCGCTAAGATTGATATTTGTTGAGATATAAACCGTTTACAATGACATTTTATGAAATTTTCAGGATTTTCGTACCAAACTTTTTATAAATGATGATTTTCAATTGTTTATCAGTACAATTTCATGTAATTACGTTTTTTCTACAGTCGGATGATTAGAGAAAAATAAATAACTAAAACAATCAAGCATAATTATTAATAAAATAACATGTTGTATGTAATACACCTCCTTATATCAATTTTTAGGTTAGATATATCTTTTCTCTTTAAAGTTATGTTATTAATAATAATGCTTGATTGTATGAGTTATTTACTTTTCTCTAATCACCCGACTGTAGAAAAAACGTATTTACATAAAAAAGTTGCGAAGATGACACATTAGAACAACTCCGCGAACTTGTCACTGCAGCGGCAGATGAAATCCGAAATCACCCGGATATGATAGCAATAGCGACATATCATAATTTTCTACTCCGCTGTCAACTTTGTGTGGATTATAACCTCGGGATAGTTGAACATTTATTATGATTTTGTGGAACACTTAAAAAAAATAGCTACATGAGCATCGATTGACGTAAAAAGTGAAAGGTGAAATTTAAAATCGACGGGAAAATCACGGAACCCTTGAGATACTTAAAAATAAAATGTAAGTATTGTTTTATTCAAAGTACCTATAAATAGCTGAGCATGCAAAACAAACAACAATTATGCACAAAGTAATCATTGATAACACAAATGTAACTGTTTAATGAATGTAGATTATTGCCCACTGTGCAAGCATATTATGCGTCAGTTGACATAGGTCAGGTCCAAAGTTTCAATTTTACTTTTAAAAAAATTGTATTAAAAAAAATGCACTAATGCAAAAATGATAAAGTAAAAACTCTTATTTTGGCGTGTAAACATCATCCCCTTAAAGGATGACAACTTATTTGGTGACACCCTGTGTAGCAAAAAAATTATTTTACACTCGTCAAGTTGTAAATCAAATTTTCGGCAAATCCCAATTTTTTCCTCGCCTCTCAAGCCGTAACAGAGTATAACCAAAAAGACTAAGACTAAAAAATGGAGTAAAAAATGTTGGAGCGGCCAGGGTCAGC